GATGTCAACCATGAAATGGTCACTTTGCTTGCTGAATCAGAAGTAGAAAGTGTACTACTTAGTTGCTTGCAGATATCTACTGATGATGAAGAGCTTAAGTTGTGGCACCGACGATATGCACATTCGAGTTACAGGGAGTTGAGAACTCTAAAGTATCAGGACATGGTAAGCGGAATGTCGAATTTGAAAGGAAAATTGAAAACGTCCACCAGCTGTTTGGTAGGGAAGCAATTCAGATCATCCATTCCAAAAAAGAGTTCATGGCGTTCAGATATATACAGACCAACAACACCATTCTGAAATAGTGGCAGAAGATACATGTTGATGTTTATAGAAGATTACAACATGAAGGCATGGGTCTATTTCTTGTCACACAAGTCTCAAACTTTAGCTCATTTCTAATTATTTAAGACTTATGTTGAAAAGGAGTGTAGGTTAGTTCTGGTTGGTTTATGCACGAACAAAAAAGGTGAATTCACCTCCAATGAGTTTGCATCTTTTTGTGAGGAAGTAGGCATCATGAGACAACTCACAACAATGTTCATAACATAACAAAATAGAGTGGTGGAACATAAAAACCGCACCATCATGAATATGGTCTGTAGCATTTTAGATGTTCCTAAAAGCTACTGGCCAAAAGTTGCTAAATGGGCAATACATGTGCTAAACAGAAGTCCGACTTTGTTTCTGCAAGGAAAGACTCCCGAGGAAATGTGGAGTGAAGTGAAGCCTAATGTGGACTATTTTTGAATATTCGGATGTTTGACCCATGTTCATGTACCTGATCAGAAAAGGCAGAAGTTGGATGGTAAGAGTATCACATGTGTGTTACTAGGAGTGAGGAAAGTGGTGATAAACCGAGATGTAATCTTTGAAGAAGAGAGGGTTGGAACTTGAATGACACTAAAGAAGAAAGGAAATTGGATGGGAAAATAGTGAGAACGACAAAGAAGTCTCAGACCTAATTGAGGAAGAAAATGTAACCAGTAAGAATACACACGAAGAAGAGACTCCATCTGATGCAAGCACATCATTTCAAGTGATAGACCGAGGTACAAGAAGTCGAAGAACCCCTGCACATTTGGAAGACTATACATCGATGAAGGGTTATTTGAGGAGGATGAGAAAGATACAACAAGTTTTGCATCGTTTCTTCATCTGGAGATCCAACAACATATGAAGAAGCCGTCAAAGATAAAAAAAATGGAGGAAAGCCATGAAGACTGAGATAGAAGCTATTGAGAAGAACAAAGCGTGGTCATCTAACAAGCTTGCCTGCAGGTTCAAAGAAAATCGACATTAAGTGGGTATTCAAAAATAAAGTTAATGAGATGGGAGAAGTAGATAAGTACAAAGCCCGACTTGTTGCCAAGGGCTATGCACAATAGCATAGAGTAGACTACAATGAAGTGTGATTCCTAGGTGGTATACCATTTGACTACTTCTTGTTGTAGCAGCTCAAAAATGAAGAAGAATGATTCAAACCTTGTTTTTAGGGGCTCTTAAATCATACACGTGGAGTTAATTTGTTTTTTGAATAAAATGCCTAACGGGTCTTGCAGTTAGGTTGTGCTATTCTTTAGGGTTGTTGAGTTCTTTACGTATGCTTCTTTCCTATTTAAAGTCTGTTTGTTGTCCATGATTGTATGTACTCAAAAAGCATTATTGAATACAAGAGTTCCCTGATTACCAAAATACTTTGCTCTTCTATTCTTGTTAATCGATCCTATCTGTGTTCTTATACCAACATTTATGGTATCAGAGCAAGGTTGGCATCTTCCTTGATTCATCTTCCAATGGCTGAGTCGAGTACATCAAACACTACCTCTGTGATCATTCCAGTATTCAAAGGAGAAGGTTATGAACACTGGAGTCTTCGTATGAAAACTATCCTTCGATCACGAGATCTGTGAGATGTAGTATACATGGGTCTCACAGCAACAAATGGCAGAGACGGCGATAATAGAGAGGCAAAAAGGAAAGACGCTCAAGCTATGACACTCATTCAGCAGGGTGTACATGACAACCTGTTTTCCAGAATTGCGGCTGCCGACTCTGCAAAGGATACATGGAAAATTCTTCGAATAGAATTTCAAGGTGATTCTCAAGTCCAATAAGTTAAGTTGCAAGGATTACGGAGGGTATTTGAAAATCTATCTATGAAAGATGACGAAGTAGTAGGTGACTACTTCTCTCGTGTTATGGATAATGTTGGTCAACAACGATCATACGGAGAAGAACTTACAGATCAGAAGATCGTTAAGAAAGTTCTTAGGAGTTTGTCTCCTAAGTTTGACTATGTAATACCATCCATAGAAGTGGTGTTTGATCTGGTCGATGTCACCCTCGTTAAGCTTATGGGACTTCTATAGTCTCAAGAAGAAAGAATCAACAGTCGAGCCTCTTTTGATAAACCACTTAAGACATCTGATAGACAAGATGAGCAGGCTCTACAGGTAGTTCAAGAACCAAACAGATTCTCACGTGGAAGAGGACGTGATCGAGGCTTTAGAGGAAGAGGGGCAGGTTGTGGAAGAGGCGGCTTTGACAGAAGCAAGGTCTCTCAATGCTATGTCTGCAAAAAATTTGGCCACTTAAAAAAGGATTGCTTGTATAACGATGAAAATCAAGTCAATGTAGCAGAAAATGAAGAAAATGGAGAAGCTGCAAAAACAGATGACCAACATTTGTTACTTGCTGTTATCTCACCACAAGAGTCCGTATTCGATGATCAATACATGCTAGTGACCAACACTGGTAAATCCGATAACTCTAATCATTTGTGGTTCATTGACTCTAGTTGTTCAAATCATATGACAGGATTCAAAGACAACTTTGTGAGCATGGATGAGTCATTCCATTTGGAAGTGCGATTGGGTGACAAAAAGAAATTGGCTGTTAAAGGAAAAGGGACTGTCAAGATTTATACAAGTGACAGTACATTCAAGATACTAGACAATGTCTATTATGCCCCCAAGCTTGAATACAACCTTCTCAGTGTTGGGAAACTCATGAAGAATGGTTATTCACTACAATTTGATGATGATATGTGTGTAATCAGGAGCAAAGCAACATGGAAGATTGTGATGAAGGTTGCAGTGGCAAATAACATGTTTATTTTCGATGCAACAAGGATGACTTCAGCTCATGCTCTCATCTCCAAATTTGATGCTGAAGCACTTCGTTGGCATTGCAGATTTGTCCACCTGCACTTTGAAGGGCTAAAACATCTATACAACAAGAAGATGGTGTGGGGGCTGCCTAAACTCAACACATCTGTAATTTGTGAAGCATGTATCCCAAGTAAACAAGCAAGGTATCCCTTCCAGTCCACATCGTGGCATGCAAGAAACAAACTGGAGTTGATTCACACAGACTTTGTGTGGACCTATGCAAGTCCCAAGCCTAGGTGACAGCTTGTACTTCCTGTTTTTTATTGATGATCTAACTTGAATGTGTTGGGTCTATTTCTTGGCTAACAAGCATGAAGCATTTGATAAATTCAAACTCTTTAAAGTAATGGTTAAAAAAGAAAGTGGGTGCTTCATCAAAGTCCTTCACTCAAATAGGGGAGCGAATTTTGTTCACAAGAATTTAATGCCTACTGTGAAAAAGCTGGAATCAAAAGAGAACTTACCATTCCCTACACCCCTTATCATAACGGTGTAGTGGAAAGAAATAATCGAACGATCATGAATTTGACACGAAGCATGCTGCATGAAATAGAGCTACCTAATTTCCTTTGGGCTGAAGCTGCTGCTACTGCCATCTACGTGCTTAATCGATCACCTGCTAAAGCTCTTGTGAATCAGACTCCATATGAAGCATGGACAGGTAAAAAACCTACTGTCTCTCACTTGAAAGTCTTTGGTTGTATTGCATATGGCCTAATTCCTTCTCAGCTGAAAAAGAAGTAAGACAACAAGTCTGAAAAAAAATATTTTTATTGGCTACCCAAGTCAAAGCCATGGGTACAAATTGTATAACCCTGACACCAAAAAGATCTATACCAAGAGAGATGTAGTCTTCCTTGAAGATTCTAAGTGGGTGTGGGGCCAAGAGAAAGCAACACTCAAACACTCCTATACCTTTATTGACCCATTTCCTGATGAATCACCTATCATATCTACTAGTACTATGCCTAATGATACTAGTACTTCCCCTACTACCCTTGAGTCAACTCCTACACCAATCAACCAACCCAGTACTACTACCTCCACACCCACACATACATCTGGTCCTGTGAGAAGAAGAATTAATCCTCCATCATGGCTTAAAGACTATCATAGTGGAGAAGGGTTGTCTGAAGAAGAAGGTGAGATTGCTTCTTGTCAATTTGCTCTTAATGTTTCTGACCCACTCACGTACAATGAAGTCTCTAAACATAAGAAGTGGCAAGAAGCAATGCATGCAGAATTGTTGGCCATTGAAAATAACCAAACCTGGCAGTTGGTATCTCTTCCGCCGGGCAAAAACAAAGTGGGGGTTAAATGGTTATTCAAAACCAAACTTGGAGCTAATGGTGAAGTATTAAAGCACAAAGCAAGGCTAGTGGCCAAGGGTTACTCTCAACAACAAGGTATTGATTTTCAAGAGACATTTGCTCTAGTTGCTCGATTTGAAACCATACGAGTAGTTCTTGCTGTAGCAGCTCAGATGGGGTGGTTTGTTCACCAACTAGATGTGAAGTCAGCCTTCCTAAATGGTGATCTGTTTGAAGAAATATATGTCGAACAGCCGGAAGGATTTGCTATTCAAGGTAAGGCAAACATGGTTTACAAACTAAATAAGGCCTTGTATGGCCTAAAGCAAGCTCCACGCTCTTGGTATGCAAAGATTGATGGGTACTTCAGGAGCATGGTTATAAAAGGAGTCACAATGAGCCTACTTTGTACATCAAAAGGAATAATACATGTGATGTTATTTATGTGTGTTTATATGTAGATGATATCATCTTCACATCCTCTTGTGATAACTTGATCAGTGAGTTCAAGTAGGGAATGGAGCTGACCTTTGAAATGACTGATATGGGTTTGTTGAAGTATTTTTTGGGTCTTGAAGTAATGCAGACCAACAATGGAATCTACCTTTGTCAGGAAAAGTATGTCCAAAACTTGTTATCTCGATTTGGAATGAGCAACTACAAGGAAGAGAATACTCCCATGAATTGCAATGAGAAACTTCTGCTCAATGATGGAGCAGATAAAGTTAATGAGGAGGCATTCAGAAGTTTGGTAGGAGGGCTTATTTACTTGACTCACACTAGGCCAGATTTGACCTATGCAGTAAGTCAAGTTTCAAAATTTATGCATCAGCCTTCCAAAATTCATTCTGGAGCTGCTCGAAGAATCTTAAGGTACATTGGCAGTACTACGAGCTTTGGAATATGGTATAAGCAGTCTGCAGGGATCAGGTTGGTGGGATACAGTGATAGTGACTGGGCCAATTGCGTTGATGATCGAAAGAGCCTCTCAGCATACATTTTCTCACTAGGCAGTGGTGCTGTTGCTTGGAGTTCAAAGAAGCAGCACACTGTAGCTCTATCAAGTACTGAAACATAGTACATCTCTGCTATAGGTGCTACTTGTCAAGCAATCTGTCTTCATAGAGTTCTTGAGGATCTCGGGTTTAGACAAAGTGAGCCCACTGTGATTTATTGTGATAATAAGTTTGCAATCAATTTATCCAAAAATCCTGTCATGCATAGTCGTTCTAAGCACATCGAGTTAAAGTATCACTTTATCAGAGAGATGGTTATACTGCAGTAAGTAAGCCTTGAATACTGCAGCACTCATGAACAACTTGCAGACATATTCACTAAGACATTGTCCAGAGAGAAGTTTGTCTACTTCAGATACAAGCTGGGAGTTATGGAGTTTGAATCAAGGGAGGGTGAAGAAGAATGATTCAAACCTTGTTTTCAGGGGCTCTTAAATCATACACATGGAGTTAATTTGTTTTTTGAATAAAATGCCTAACGGGTCTTGCAGTTAGGTTGTGCTATTCTTTAGGGTTGTTGAGTTCTTTACGTATGCTTCTTTCCTATTTAAAGTCTGTTTGTTCTCCATGATTGTATGTACTCAAAAAGCATTCTTGAATACAAGAGTTCCCTAATTACCAAAATACTTTGCTCTTCTATTCTTGTTAATCGATCCTATTTGTGTTCTTATACCAACAAAAAAGACTGGCTTGTATACCAGCTCAACATGAAAAGTACGTTTCTGCATGGAGAGTTGAAAGAGGAGGTTTTTGTAGAATAACCATTACGGTTTATACAAAAGGGAAAGGAAGATAAAGTGTACAAGTGCAAAATGTTATATGGATTAAAGCAAGCGCCTCGTGCATGTTATAGCAAAATAGAGGCACATTTCATGAAAGAAGGTTTCTAAAGATGCAACTATGAGCATATATTATTTGTCAAAATGGAGGAGGTAATAATATTTTGATTGTTAGCTTATATGTTGACGATCTAATTTTTACCAAAAATAGCCACTCAATGATGCAAAAATTCAAAGCTTCTATGGAAAATGAATTTGATATGACTAATTTGGGGAAGATGAAGTATTTTCTTGGTGTGGAGGTCATTCAAAAAGCTGCTGGGATTTTTATAAACCAGAGAAAGTATGCTGGAGAGTTACTTGAAAGGTTTAACCTACTAGATAGAAATTTTGTTCAGAATCCTATTGTACCAGGTTCAATACTGACAAAAGGAGTGATGGTGATAAAGTAGATACAACTTTGTACAAACAACTCAATGGAAGCTAAATGCACATCACAGCCACTAGCCTGATTTAATGTATGTTATATGTTTATTAAGCACTTTATGGCAGATCCTTCACAACAACACATGCAGGCTGCAAAACAAGTTATGTGTTCCTTGAAGGGATCCATGTCGTTCGAGATATTTTACAATAGAGAAATGAGAAAAATTGGTGGCATATATCGACAGTGATTACGCTTCTGATCTTGATGATAGAAGAAGCACAAGTGGGTATCTGTTCTTATTGACTGAAGGAGCAATATCTTAGGCATCCAAAAAACTACCTATGGTGAGTCTGTCCACAAACAAAGCAGAACTCATCACTGCAGCATACTTTGCATGTCAGTGTGTTTGGATGAAAAGAATTCTTGAGAAGCTTGGGTTGGTGCAATCTCAAAGTTCAACAATTTTATGTGACAACGATTCAATAATAAAGTTATCAAAAAACCATGTGTTTCATGGTCGGGGTAAGCACATTGACGTACATTTTCATTTCTTAAGAGATCTTACAAGAAAAGGAGTAGTTGAACTCAATCATTGTGAAACGAAAGCTCAACTTGCGGACATCATGACCAAACAGCTCAAGTTAGAAACATTCCTCCGGCTGCGAGAAGAACTCGGAGTATGTGAAGGTATAAACTGAATGCGACCACATTCAGTTTAGGAGAGGCATTGTAAAGTTTCATTTAGTAGTTCTCGTTTATTTCTTTTGCCAGTAAGTTACCAACTAGGTTGGTAGTAAGAGTGTTTGACTTGTTCCAAAGCAAACCTAGTTATGTTGCGTGACAAATTCCATTTTTTAGAGCTTTATTTTAGCATTTTTTTTGTTCTCTTTCTTTTTGCAAGACTATTTAAAGTGCCATTTTTGAGTTCAATAAACTATCCATTACTTCTTAATTATTGTGTTTTATGTGTGATTGTATTCAGACTTCAAAGAGCAACATATACTAGATAAACAAAACTAGTAGCCATTTACGGAGTTCCTCTAGAAGACAACGATGGCGAAAGAGGCAATGGTGGAGCACGAAGACAACAGATGAGGTAGTACGACGACGGCGTAGCAGGCGATGGTGTAGTACGACGACGGCGGAGGAGGCGATGGTGGAGGAAGACGACGGCATGGTGGAGGACGCCAGTGTCGGAGGAGGCAGTGTGGAGGACGACGACGCCGGAAGAGGCGATGTGGAGGACAACGAAGGCGAAAGACGACGATAGCGGAGGAGGCCACGATGGTGGTGCTTGAGGATGGCGATGATGTGCTTTATGACAATAGTGAAAAAACAAGAATATTGGAGGTGATGAAGAGAGAGGCAAGAAAAGTTTATTGCTTTTTTACTTTCTAAACTAATACCACACGTACTATGGCTTTTTAAATGTCCACAAACTTTTTTTTATGGTTTTTGATTGCCATATCATCTAAAGGCAACTCGTTACATGCTATTAATCAGATCCTTAAATAAATAGAAAGTTTGATACAAACCTTAAAATGAAAATTTTAAAAGTTGATTTTTTAAAATAGGAATTAAGTAAAAGTTAGATTCTATTTTAATGAGATTTATCCTAATTTAGAGGGTGTTTGGAACAACTTATGTATTTCTATAAAAACACTTATCACATTATTATAAGTCAGAAAAATTTAACTTCTTCAAAAACTTTTTATTACGGGTTTGATACCGGTATAAATTGTTTATCCAAACACTCAAATATATTTATTACCGATACCTCACCGAAATAAGTCAATAAATTATTTTTATAATCAATTCCGAACACCACCTTAAAATCAAACTTTTAATAATTCCATCTTTACATCATTACGTGAGAAATCGGCTTCTTGTCGAAGTCAAAGAAAGGCCAAGTCAAGATCGCCATTCTCATCGAAACAAGTCCAAGTCTCCTCCAATCCACATGCAAAAAGTCATAAATACTTCAATCTGCAACACAAAAGCCAAACACACCAGCTATCACGCCACTAATTCATTTGCCAGCAGCATCAATAATAATTTTGTCCCAAGGGAACCACCGTCAATCCCACCTACGTCAAAACTCTTTCCCCATCAATCGAATGATTTAAACAAGGGTTTGTCATCGGAATTGAAGTTTTTGGTCTGGGTGTTGAAGATCCAAACGGTTATCGACTCAAAAACCAGCCAATTAAATAATATTTGACTCGAGAAATGGGGGAAATGAAGAAACCCCAATTGGACTGCCCTTCGCCTGAAGTATCTCAGGTTAGTAGCTCACGTTAATTCAGTTCCTTTGTTTCTTTTTCCATAATTTGAAGTTGTAAACTGATCACTGATTTTGACCCTTTTTCGTTTGATGATCAAGAATTCTGATTTAGTAGAAAAAGATTGAAGTCAAAATTGATCTTGTTGACTTGTTCTTTCATTTTGTGAGTCGGGTTTCAATTGTTTTTGTTGAATCAGTTGACGTTGTAAACTTATCACTGGTTTTGACCCTTTTTGTTTAATGATCATGAGTTTTCCATTTAGAGGAGATTTAGTGGCATCAAGATTGAAGTCCAAGTTATTCTTGTTGACTTATTTGATTTCATGTTGTGAGTAGGGTTTTGGTTGTTCTTGTTGAACATGCTTAAGTGATTCATAGTTTATGTGTTGAATTGGGAGCTATATGATCCATTAATTGGAAAGAGAATGAATTATGTTCATAAGATCATTGACTTTCATGCGAGTGGTGGAAGATCCTGCAGAGATGAAATATATAACTAAAAGAGAACATAGATTTGAGTGGCAGTTCTTTCTGAAAAAGAACCAACAGGAATCAAAGAATTCTCGATAAAAGTTGGAAATAGAAAAGCTTCAAGAAGTAGAAGAGCGAAAGAAAAACTCGAGTTGGTTATATGTGGCTAGAGGAGATGGGCTGAAAATCGCATTGCATTGTACTAACACTAAACCAAACCAAATGAAACGATCCCAGTTTATCCCATTCGAGAACAGGGTTGGGAGGGGGGGGGGGGGCAATGTACACGAACATGTCATCTACTCCAAAAGATAGAGCTGTTGTACCAACACCAAACCGTCTTTCCTTTTCTCTTTTGGGTCACTAGTTCTTTTTCCTGGCTTACAGATTAACATATTGTTAATTTGAAGCATACCCAACGGATAGTATCTGGTGGAAGCAAATACTTTGAATCTTATTGTTAGTTGTTCCATAATGTATTGTCTTGAATATCGGTTTTGGGCATTTTGAATTATGATGATGTTAGAGACTTGGTGTTGTGTCTGTACCTTTTGCTTGTTTGAACACACTCATTTGTTGCTTTTCTGACATGTATCCTATAATTTTCGTTTTGCAAGCTAGGGGTCTTCGTGGAAACAGCCTCTCTACCCCTTGGGTTAGAGGCAAGGTTTGCCTACATGATATACCCCGATACTGTACCTCCATGTGGGATATACCGAGTTCATTTGGTTTGGGGCACTGTCAATCTGTGATTGGTGCAAGAGACTTGGTGTTGTGCTTGTAGTTTCTTGTTTGCACACACTTCTCTTATACTTTTATCACCCGAATCCTCGTGATTTTCGTTTTACAAGCTAGGGGTATTCACGGAAACAACCTCTCTACCCCAAGGGGTAGTAGAGGCAAGGTCTGCTTAGAGCATCTCGAACAAAATCTCCAAAATGGAGATTTTGGGTTTTTTCTACATTTTCTCCAAAATAGAGAAAAGATGATAGAAAGAATTTTTTTCCATATTTGGAGGTAAGATTAGAATTCTCTAAAATTATTTTTTATTTATTTTGGAGGAGATAGAACATAAAAATTAATAATTTATAAAAAGTTCGTTGAGATATTAAATGTATTGAATATTTTAATAATATAATTAATGATAAAATCTTAAAAGACGACGAAAATGGTGTACTTTATTATTTTTTTTATTTATTTTAAAGGAGAGAAGGAGGAGAGAGAACATAAAAATTAATATTTTATAAAAAAGTTCATTGAATATTTTAATAGTATATATAGAAAAATGAGTTGGAATCAATTCTTTTATGGAAATTTGAGATCCTCTTACATCCTTCCCCCGACCCTACCTCTCTGTGGGATATCTTATTTCGGTGTTTAGTTTGATTTAAGATCTTCACTTTGCGGGTTCAAAGAAGAAAACTTGATTTCATTGTGTTGTATATTTGATAGGGAGATAGTGATTCGGAATCCACTTCGGTTTCATCATCAATGCAAAGCTCCATTTCGAGTGCAACATCTTCACTCGATCAAGATAGCAGTAATGTCAAAGGAGGAACCCGACAAAAGAAAACACTGAACAAATCAATTTCGAAGAAACTATCCACTTTTGGGAGCTTCATGTCATCTAGGAGGCGGGCACAATCAAGACTCTGTCAATCTTCGATCAAATTGCCGGATGAGGGTTCCACCACAGCCCCACATCCTTCTTCCATTGAAGTATCAGATGAATCATCTAATAATGTTCAGGTACTCCCTCCGTTCACAAAAATCATAAAATTCACTTATTTTTTCATCGTTAAAGGGTATTCTAAACAAATTCTCGATCATTTATACCATGTTTGACAACCATAAGCTAGCTTAGTTTTTTAGATTATGAGCTAGCTTCTTAAAAAGCTACTTCAAATAGCTTATTGAGGCTTTTTTGGGTTCTTTTTCCCCCAATTATGCCCTTATATTTTTTACATAAATGCCCCTTATATATTCCTTTTTAGAGCATTTTACGCTGTCCAATAGCTCATCGGCTAGTTTTTACCAAACATGGCTAGCTTGTTAGCTAGTTTTTGCTAAACGCGATTAGTTTATCAGCTAGCTTTTCAGCCAACAACTACTTATCAGCTAGTTCTCCAAACATAGCCTAAACCTATGATCGACAGTTATAAAGTGGTCGGCAATATCCTAAACAATATTCGATTCTATCTTCGCAGAAACCTACGCCGAAGTTCACAAGAACGGGTAGTCTGAGATCTGTTAAAATCTTCAGGAGCAAGAGCAAGAACAAGTCTAGTTTCAAACCAAAAAAGCCGTCAATCGACAAAACTTCAGACATTTCCGAAGAATCCCATTTGGAGAGAGCTACATTTTCATCAATTCTTAAGGACTCAAAGTTCCCTGAACACCTTAAGCATCAAGCGGGACCACTAGAACCTGAAGAAGTACTTCCGGTAGCAAAGTTTTGTCCATACCAACACTGTTCTCTCCATGGCCATCATCATCATCACGAGCCCCCACCAAAACGCTTCACATACTTGAAACGGCGAACTGCAAACGACCAAAAGAGCGTGAAACCTGAAAGTAAATCCGCAGATAAAAGTTCTGGCAAGAAAAGAGAGGCGAAAGTAACCAAAAAGATTTCTAATCGCGAATCTGCTCCTCCAGATGTTGATTTCTCTATAGAGTTCTATGCTAAAACGAGATCCGAACCTCTTGAAAGTTATGGTCATGATGATGCTGAGTTTGCTGACATCTTGTTTGGTGTGAACAGCTTGCAAGAGAAAAATAAGACGACACGCGTGTCAAATGATCGCCGTTCTGTTGATTTGAAGGATGAAAACGATGGAAATTCAGATGGGTTGAAGAGCGAACTTGCAAAGAAGCCAGTTTTAAAGAAAGCCAACCATATGAGCATGTGGCATATGATTCATCGGCATATGGTATCTGGTCTTGCAGCGGAATCTGGAGACGAGATACCTCAACAACTAGACGACGAAAAGAAATCGTGTATTGATGATGCAAGCACTTCACGTCTAACAAAAGGTTTGTAATTTATTTTCTTTGTTTTGTGTACTTGCATTACAACAAAACCGGTTTTATAGGACGCCATATTATGTCTAAGTGTTCTAACAGACTGCCTAAATGTGCTACAATAAGTAGATAATACGCTTTTCGGTGTCTTAACAAGTCTTTTAGTACAATTAGAAATTGAACATTCTATTAGTCTTTTTATACGATGTTATTTGAACAAGTGTCCAGTAAAAAGATGTGTTCGTTTGACACTTTTCAGAAGTGTACTGTAAAAAGTTAACGACATTTTATTTCAAAAGTGTCTTAAGCAGTTTATTAAGACATTTAGACATCTTTGACATCCTATAAAAATGATTTTGTTGTAGTTTTTGGGATTGTCTAAGCATAGTAAAGGCTCACGTTATAGTGTGATATTCTCAGATTTTGATGATGCTGTGAGTCACGAGACTGAGATCCGAAAGATGTTTGCAATCAAGCTCGTGAGAGAAGCAATCGAGAAGATCCTTCTTCCAGAAGTTCAAGATGATCAATCCACCACGAGTGAAGTTATATCTGAACAAAACCTATCAGAAATCAGTCGAAATGGAAATGAAGATGAAATAACAAGCCATCCAAAAGACGAACCCGAGGCCAATAACGATAGAGCTGAAGAACAGCCGGTAATGGAGGAACCGGTAGAAAAGATAACGGAAAAAAGAACACCGAAGAGGTGGAGTAACCTAAAGAAAGTTATCCTTCTGAGCAAGTTCGTTAAGGAACTAGAAAAGGTGAAGAAATTCAATCCGAAGAAGCCGATAAACCTTCCGTTGGCACCTGAACCAGAATCCGAAAAGGTTTCTTTAAGACGTCAGAAAACCGACGATAAGAAAAATGCTGATGAATGGATGCTTGATTATGCTCTTCAAAAGGTCGTTAGCGAACTCGCTCCAACTCAGAAAAAGAAAGTCGCATTGCTCGTAAAAGCTTTCGAAACCGTGGCTCCTGCCCACGAGGATCAACAAGATTCAAGATCGAATGCCGAACTCCAAAGGGTCGGTTCCGAAACAAAAGTTAAATTTCAAGGGATACATGAATCGGGTGTCGGCTCGAAGGCGGATTTCGAGATAAAAACGACTCCAGATGTTGGATCTAGTTCATTCTCTGAACGGTCAGAGGAGAAGAAAGAATCAAGATTCGATTTTGGTGCCGGAAACCAGTTGGAGAAAGAAAAACACATTAAAATGTGGCATATGATTTACCAACATGTGGCAACGGATATCGCTACAAAAATTGGATCAGAGCTACTTCTTGACGGAGAAGAATCGACGAACAGTGAAGAGAAGAATTTGCAAGAAGTTGAAGGTCATACCGGAAGAAAGCATGGGTTTCGGTTCACCGATGCTGTTAAGCTCGTAAGAGAATCGGTTGATGAAATCCTTCTCCCGGACATTCCCGACAATTCTTCACAAGAAACGCAATCAGTTGCATGTGACGTATCCTCTGATCACGAAGAACACACAGAAAACGTTGAAAAAGGTTTAGTTTTCGATGAAAATAAGAAACCGGAAATTGTGGGATCATTTGGGAACAGATTACAGCAGCAGAAGTCCAAGAATTGGAGTAAGTTGAAGAAACTGATTTTGCTGAAACGATCAATTAAGGCGTTGGAAGGGTTTCGGAAACTGAAACCGCAAACCCCAGAACGAAAGATCTTGATAAATGAGACGGAAGAAGAAAGAGTTGAATTAAGGCGTCAAATGATGGACGAAAGGAAGAAAGCAGAGCAGTGGATGCTCGATTATGCAGTTCAACATATCGTCACCAAGCTGACCCCGGCTCGTAAAAAGAGAGTCTCGATGCTCGTTGAAGCTTTCGAAGCAGTCGTCCCGCTTCCGGATATTTAAGACATAAAATGAATCTACAAGGGCCATATTCAAGATTTCTTGAATTAGAGGTATCTTCCCAAACAATCATTATAACTATACTTTGTTGGAGTCCAGCATCTGCTGTATATATGTAGCAACATTTCCCCTCTCTATAATGGCTTTCTTATAGAGAGTATGTTGATCCTTAGGGTTCTTCTACGTATTCTAACATGGTATCAGAGCCGGAGTTTAGCACCACCTAAGGACTACACACCCTTTCTCCCCTGTTTTTGGGGTGGACCATCTAGCCTCCATTTTGGGGGTATGCTATAGTCCCATATCGGCTAGATAAGGACCATCAAACCTGTATATATATATATATAGACTTGGGATCACGTGAGACCAACCTGTTTTCGTGAGACCCGTGAGACCAGCTTTTTACACTTGAAACTTCACAGCAAAATGCTGTGAAGGTAACCTTCGCAGTGTTTTTGCTGTGAAGTTTCAAGTGTAAAAATGTGGTCTCACGGTTCTCACGAAAACAGCCTGGTCTCACGTGAACCAAACATACATATATATATATATATATATATATATATATATATATATATATCCTAACATGGTATGAGAGCAAGATCTAACATCACTTAGGAACACACTCTTTTGTCTCCATTCTTGAGCCATTATATCGCCTCCGTTTTAGCGAGCATGTTGGAGTCCCAGACTGGCTAGAAAAAGACCATTATAACTGTATATATTTAGGAATTTTCTCTCTTTACATGGGCTCTTTTAGAGACGGTATCTTAGGGGTTCCGCGTGTTCTAACAACTTTGATGTCTAATTGTGTTGATGTTCATTTAACGCGCAGGTACGGCAAGATTGAATCAACTCAGAGGAGGAATCGTCTTGCAGTTTGTTATGAATGACCAAAATCGACAAACTAGTAATACAGGGTACATAGAAATCGAGTGACGTTTATACGTTCGTGAGTGTAGAATGATTTTTTTGGTTGCAAAAATTATTCTTTTGCATTTTTTTGTCTAAAATCTTTCACAATTAGAGATCCTGAATACCATCCCATTGGTTGGTTTGTTGTTTTGTTTGTATGTAAAATGTAGTTATGATCTTGTTCTTCTCCTTTGTTGCTGAGTAATCAATTTACTTGGTGCGTGTTACGCAAACTAGCTGTTAGCTGAAAAACTAATTGGCTAATATACTAATTGTTAAGCGAGATGATAACGTAAAATGATCTAAAAAAGCACATGTTGAAAATTAATTGGAAAAATATACAGGGGTATAATGGAAAAAAAATTGGAAAATCCCCTTGAGCTTATGGAAAGGCTACTTGAAGTCGGTAATCTAATGGGGTTATACATATTCATACAATCTTTGCAACTAAATCCTAATCTTTAAAAATTTGATCAACGGTAGGCATCTAATAAAGGTGATTATTAGATTATGTAATTTCTTTTTGATTTTTTCTAAAAGTAAAACACATTTAGGGGTAATTTTGGAAACAAATAATTCTAGAATCTCACATAAGATGCCCTAAAAAATTAAGCGTTTTTAGAACGTATAAGATGGAACTTTTTTAAAATTAAACTGCTTATGGTTTTCATGAAAACATTTAAAGTACTATTTTGATTTCTCAAGATGCTGCAATTAGACGAAGGAAATTGAAATGGGTCCATGTGTAATTTAGAATTCGTATCTATTTTGTAGCGGTATATCCATACATCTTGAAAACATGACCATAATTAAATTAATGGAATAAACCAATGAATCTAGGAAAAATTGCATCAAAATGGAATTAACTTTCACCTTATCTCTATTTTGAGGAATTAACTTTCAAAATCGTTATGTTGGGGAACCAACTTGCACCTGATTTCTATTTTAGGGAACCAACTTTTAAAATCGTCATTTTGGGGAATCAACTTGCACCTGATTCCTATTTTGGGGAACCAACTTGCAAAATAATTATAGAAAAATAATTAAAATTTGTTTTTTTTTTCAAAAATTAATGCAATAAAATCTATTTTTCATTTCAAATCTTGTTTTTTTAAAATTCAGATATCAAATTAAAGATTTAAAAAAAATCTAAATTATCACAATAAAAATTGTTTTCTACTAATGCAAAAAAATCAATTTAATAGAAAAAAATTAATTGATGCAATAAAAAATAAATATTAAATATCACATTCAAGATTTTTAATAGATATAAAAATCTTGAATGTGATATTTAATATTTATTTTTTTATTGCATCAATTAATTTTTTTCTATTAAATTGATTTTTTTTTTGCATTATTAGAAAACAATTTTTATTGTGGTAATTTGGATTTTTTTTTTTAAAAATCTTCAATTTAATATCTGAATTAAAAAAAAGATTTGAAATGAAAAATAGATTTTATTGCATTAACTTTTGAAAAAAATGAATTTTAGTTATTTTTTTATAATTATTTTGCAAGTTGGTTCCCCAAAATAGGAATCAGGTGCAAGTTGGTTYCCCRAAATGACGATTTTGAAAGTTGGTTCCCCAAAATAGAAATCAGGTGCAAATTGGTTCCTTAAAATGACGATTTTGCAAGTTGGTTCCCCAATATAGGAATCAGGTGCAAGCTGGTTCCCCAAAATGACGATTTTGAAAGTTGGTTCCCCAAAATAAGAATCAGGTGAAAGTTGGTTCTATTTTAATGCAATTTTCCCATGAATCTATATGCTAATTGCTTTTGTCAATGCTTACCGTGTTCATGAAACTCTGCTCGAAACAATCATGTGATTTCTCCATGGAATATGTTGTTTGAAACCATCATGCGGTTCCTCCATGGAGTCGAAGAAGTCATTTACCTTGAATAACATCATTAACGTAATGTCAAAGACATAAAAGAAAAAAGAGAAAAATAAATAAATATATTTTTAAAAATATGCAATATTTTTATTTAATAAATAATAATAGCTATCTTATTAATTAATAATATTAATTATCTTAAATTAATAGTTTAAAATTGATGTTTCACTTAATTTTATATATTCGGTAACTCTTTTTTATAATCAAATATATGGAAATTTTATAAAATAAATAGTAAGAGAAGGTGAAAAACAAGTATGAGATAAAATAATATATATAAATAAATGACCTCATAACTCATGCCTCTTTTAGTTTCATCAATAAACTATTGGCATATAATCACATAGCTACCCCTGAGGTTTTGTTTAAATACAAAAACACCCTTCTAATCTAAAGCAAATCTATTACCGATTTGAGCAGTCAACCATTTCAAGATCGTTTGGTTCGAATTTAATATTATACTTATTTAACTTTACGACTCAAGTTTCTCAATCCTAATCTTCAAAATTATTTTAAATTTTTTGAATTAAACAAGCTTATATAACCTAGTTATTTAAAAGAAAATGTCACAAATGTGGTATCTGATTGGTTTGAGCTTGAGCTAGAGTCAAAAGTGTCTGGATGTCACAGGTTCGAATCTAAAGAGAAATAAAAATCCCCTTATGACTATAGAAGTTCAAATGTATCGAGTAAGATTGTAGTACATCAAAATGTATCTTATGCAACAATTTACCTAGTAAACGTTTACCCGAGTAAGGGTTGTTACCCTCACTTTGTGGGTAAGACTCTCCATTCTTACCATCGCTCTTACCGAGTAAGATTCTTGCCTCTTGCCATGTTCATTCGGTAAGAAAATTTGACCAATAAGTACTTACCAGGTAAACTTTTAGTAAACGACCCCTTAAATCAACTATTACAATTGACCTTGAATTTCTTTATTGCTCACTTGCTCGATTTTGTTAACGTCGAATATAAAAGGGCAAAGTTTATACCAATTAAGTTTCCCTTGTCTAGAAGAAGCCCATTTTTAAAACAAGGTCTCATTGCAATTATTTGATTCTTAAGGGGGAATTTATGTATTTAGGCTAAACTAGAGGGTATGTTTTGTATTTAGGTTCACATGGTCAACTATGGAACTCCCCAAAATGGTCAATCAAGATGAGGTTTCATCAAGAATGCCTCTTTGGCCAAGTTATCTATAAATACACTTCTTTAGAGCCAAACCCTTTAGGTTTGTATTCTTTCTCTAATTCACTTCTTTTTCAGATAATTTTTATAGCAAAATTACTGATGGCTGGACTTCAGTACAACTTTTTTCCGACTGATTTTCTCTATCCTCAACCTACAGCAATAAGTAAGGATGATGTCTTTATCCAAACTCTTTCATTGAACGCCCAAAAACCAGCTACTTCATACGAAGATATGACCAAGACAAAGTCGACTAACACTGTGAAGAAGCAAATCAAGATCATCAAGATTTCAACAGTCAACAAACAAATATGAAAACAACGCCATCTTCACTATGTGCATGTATGTGTTTCAAAGTACCTGTATTGGGGACATTTATTGTTTTTTGTTACTTTTTCTTTACTTGCTATTTATGTGGATATGTACAAGAAGAGATGCAACTTCGAAGTATTTATTAATTAACATTATCAGACACACATCTATGTAAACGTGTTAATTTTTGTTGTTTGTAAGTTTTTTAGTTGCTAAATCATTTACACATTTAGACATATATAGACTACAATTTCAAATTCCAGTAAACCAAAAACATACCATATGACAAATACGTTACACACACACATATAGGGGCTGGTTCAAATGCTAACCAAGATTATCGTGTTAACTTTGTTAACCGATCTTGRCYGTTAATTTGAATAATAAACGGTTGTGATTTAATGATATTTAAAATTAATTATTAAATTAATATTTTCAATTAACATATGTGAACAAAATATCAAAGGGTATTTAGTTAAAACTAATCTATCTTTGATACACGAGTTGTCAGATATATGAACAACTTGTGTATATCTTCAAACCACATCAAACAAAAAAGATTAGACATATGAACAACATATGAACCAAGGCATCTAGGGCTGTGTGTTTTCATACGTGTTCATATGCTTTCACATGTTCTCTGTGTGTGTTTGTGTGTATGTATTCATATGAACATCTAGTGACTTGAATATACATGAACATTTATGAATCACGACATTTAAGGTTATGCGATTTCTGATGTGTTTATATGTCACAAGTGAGAACTGTCAATTAAAATAAATGTGAATTATGGAACATGAACACGTGTGAAATCCCAATGTCAATATTACATCATGATCAATTGTGATATTTTCAAATTTGTAACTCCCAATTAATTGTTTGGGAGTTACATAAAATGACAAATTACTTAAATACTCTTGTATTTAATATATGAGTTACATTTGAATCAAAGGAAAAGATGGAATATGATTGGTTGAGCTTGTTTAACATAGTTAACACAAAACAATTGGTTAGTATTTGAATCAAGCTCGCTCTCTCTCTCTCTC